TTCATTTCTCTTGGTGATGAATAGCTTGTGTACGGTGTGCCAGGCTGCTTGCTCTGGTGTTGTGCCACTAGGCACTGTCTCCAAATTGTGACAGGATGGGGAGCAAGAACATGGGCATGATGCACTTTGACTGTCCATGTATACAGCACCTACCTTAAAAGTGTCTCAAGACAGATCCTATCTGTGTTCTCACTGGACATGAGGAGGAACAGCAAAGTGCTGGGTCTAGAACTCTCATTTTTGTCCAAAACAAGAGAATAAGGCAGCTAAAGAAGGGGTCTGTCTAGTGAGCTGCCATCAGGGAGGGCTCATAATGTGTGGACGCAGTCTTCTAAGGTGGCAAACACATCCCCTGGGAGGACAGTTTTCACTTCAGGCAAGAGGTGCAAAGCAAAACAGATAGCTTGCAGGCCCAGCCAATCAGCCAGGGCTTTGGCTGAGAGCCAGGCAGACCAAGCTGAGCTAGAAGAGCTTGTGCAACTGAACCAAGAAAGCAGGGAGACTTCCAGAGGTGAGGCTTGGTTTCTCCTGCTGCAAGGCCAAGATATGGACCCAGGGGCTTCTGTAGTTGCTCTTGAAATTGCCCTGGTGTCTCAGTCAGAGGTAAGCCCACCAATCCTGGTCAAGGCTGAAGTAGAAGAGTGGAAAGACATCCCTGCTGAGGCAATTGGGATTCAACAAGAAAACTTCCCAATCAAGGCTGAGGTCCCCCATCTAATGCAGGAAAACAAAAGCTAGTCTTTGCCAAGGAAGGCATGCCCCAGCAAACAGCAGGTGCTGAAGTGTTTGCAGGCAGAGGGTAGCCACCTCCCTCACTGGTGGACAGGTGCAGAACACCCTACTGGAGCCAGTGGTGCCTGTTCCAGAAGAAGTCCACAAGTAGCTTCTGGATACTTTTGAGCAGAGTCATTGGTGGGTCCAGGAATACACACCTGTGCCTTAGAGTAGCAGCTGCCAGTTTGTTGATGACCAGGACCTGACCATAGTAGCTTAGGGCTTTGAAGCGATTGTGGCACCAGGACAAGCCTTCAGGCAGGTTGGGAGGGGAAGGGGGTTGAGCGTTGGCCCAGGTTCCCAACAGAAATACAGTATGTCACTTCTGGCCCAGTTGATATAGGCTGAGGAGGCATTCTTGTAGTCGTGTTGATACTCAGCCAAGGACTGCACGCCATCCTCAATGCTCCCAAAAAAAAAGTCATGTCATTGGCATACTTTGTCACCTTAACTTGGGGGGCTGTAGCTGGGGCTTTGACTGAGGCTGATGAGAGAGAGCGAGAGCGAGGGAGAGAGGTAGGAAACCAATACCTGAAGGAAAAGTCCCACTGAAAAAGAGAGAGAGATGAAATCAGTTTCTTCTGATCCTATTATACCAGTTCTTTCTAGGTATAATGTCTAGACTGTAACCTCTTCAGGGCAGAGACCAGTTGTCATGTATGTCTGTGAAGTGCTATGTTCACTTGTCATGCTACATAAATGTATAATAGTAAAATAAAAATGAAATATTGGAGCATTGTTACCAGCTTTTTTCCCAATGTATGGTTGAATGGTTCCTGGTAGTTTAATGTGTTATGCATTCTAAAGAGGATGACAACAAAGTTCAATATGGTCATAAAATCATTAGTAAAATGCCAGAAATAATTTAATCTAACTAGAATAACCCCCTTAAGATATGAAATATCTGTTTTCAAGTTTTACCTTTTAATTCTTTTTTTTCATCCTGTTGCCTTCAGTTAGCTAAGAATTGGACAACTGGGTTTTAATATGTTAGATGTATTAGGATTCCAAATTATTTGATTTATAAAAAGAAGAAAGTGTATCTATTAGAAAAGATAACTGACAAAGAAAGGAGACTGATTTGGAAATGGGATGATTGATTTTTGTTTTTTCAACTATGAAACACCCTGACATGAAATTAAGCTAAATATCAGATTATGACCCCAAATTTGAGTTTCTAATTAAGTAGTACAGCAGAAAGATGAGGAAGTTTTAACGTGGTACTGTGCTTTTCTGCTTTCACCCTGGCCATAGATTTCATAGAATTTTAGGGTCGGAGGCACCTCAGTAGATCGAGTCTGATCCCCATCCTATTGTATGACAGGTATTGCAGACAAC